CGAGCTTCTGCTCCTCCGAGTCGAGCACCGCCACGATCTCCTCGACCAGGCTCGCCGCCACCTGGCCATGCGGTGGGCCGAGGCCGTGCCCCTTGCCCAGCTGTTTTACCTTCCGTCCGTACTCTCTGCCAGTCTCCATCGGCGCCTGCACCCATTCTGGCTCTAGCGGCGCCAGCCAGAACTCTCCCGTGAGATGCAGAAAATTGCGGATCTCGTTCAAGTTCTGGAGGGTGAGCCTCTGGAGCGATCTCAGCTGATCCCGAAGCTCCACCTGGCCGCCTCCTCCACCACCACGGCCTCCTCCTGGGGGTCCGCGACCGCCTCCTCCTCGGCGCTGTGTGTGGGGGGGGGGCGGCTGCTGCGGAGTCTGCTGCGACTGCTGCGTGTCTGACGAGCCGACTCCGCCACCGCCGAGGTGTGGGCGCTGTGCTGGTCGCTGCCCTTCGGCTGCGCCCCCTCCTCTCTTCGTGCTGGCTCTGATGCGCCAGTCGCCGTGGCCTTTGTGCGACATGTGCTCCTTCTCCCCGCGCTGCTCTGATCGACTCTGGCCCTGCTATGTGCTCGCGTATGTGTGCGTGATACTCCTCAAGAATTTGAGCCTCGTGGTTGCAGATCTGGCAGGTAAGGGAGCTGGGGTCGGAAATGGGGTGGGACCACATCGACCTATCTTGGTGGCATATACCGTGCCCGTGTACAGCCCTGACCGCGTGGTCGACACATACCTTACGATTGATAAATGTGCTCTTGCACCAGGGACACTGGTTGTTGACGATTACGGACGCCACCACTGGTCGGATGTTGTGGGACTCTCGGCGATGCCCAGCTAGTGCTGCGTATGTCGCAAAGCGCATGCCACACCTCTGTTATGTGTCGTTTTCGCCCTTCGTCGTATGATCGCACCAGTAAGGTTTTAATGTCTCCTCCTCCCTGCCCTCCTCCTCCTGTAACGTCGCATCTCGTGTCGTAAGCACATCCCAATTTCGCTCGTAACTGTACAATATTGATGGGTCTGTTTGTAACCAGTTTTTTTGTTCCGTACTCCCCTGTTCGAATATGGCGAGGTCGGATTCCCTGTCTGCATACCATCCCATGCTCTCGTCCACAGTTGCTATCACCTGCATGTCGGCTGCAAACTGCTGTGCCCACGGGGTGGAGGAGGGCCCCGCGAATCCCTGCCCCTCTAGTCGCCGTATGCCCTGAGCCGCATCTAGTCTGGATGTTCCGAACACCGCTGCGATGACTGCTCCGTGCTCCCAAGGGTGCCTTGACCAGTTCTGGTACCATCGTAGGCGTCGCACAAGCAAAGATACGGATGTACGCTCAAGTCTCCAGTATCTAAACACCTGTCGCAAATTGTTGCACCTCACTGTCCCATCTGTTCTGGTCCACGACATTGCTCCTCCCGCTAACGTCCGTCGGTACTTGCCTAGTACGCTGTCGATTGCTGTTGTATGGGTATCTGTCAGAACTAGCGCAGGCAATCCGCTAAGGGCCGCACCTACTACGAAAGCCATGAACATCATGCGTTTTATCTGTCGGGGTACCTTAGAGGTCCAGAAGATTCCGCACTGTCGCCATGCAACGCGGATGGCTGCGATGCGCCGCACAACCTCGCCAGTGATGCCCTGGCCAGCTGGTAGGTAGGGGCCAAGTACACGCATCTCCCTTAGCGCCTGACCTTGCAGTGTTTTGCTGCGTCTGAGTTGTCTGGTTTTCCCGTAGCAGCCTTGCCCGACTAGGTATAGTAGGTGGTTGGTCTTTGCATTGTTAAGTCCCCACCCTCCTGCTGCAATTGTTTGGGAAAGGCGTTCTGTGTTGCTGTTGAGTTGTTGTTCGGTATCTCCAGCCGTCGCTGCGGGTAGGATTGTCTGCACATACGTGATGTCGTCCATGAACGTGTTGAGAGCTAAGTCGTGAGTGTTGCCTGCGACTGGGTTGGTCGTGTCGTGGATAATCTGGTCTGGGTCCGTGTGGCCTTGTTCCCACCATTTTGTGACGTACAGGTTGTATGCGTCGTTGAATTGCCTTGGGCAGAGGGTGAAGCCCATTTGGGCGCCTGTGGTGCTCTCAGCTTCGACTGTGCCATCGGCAGCTTCGAGCGTCAGGGTAGAGTGGTCAATTGCTGCCATGGCGAAGCGCTGGTCGTGCTCGTGTGCTTGCCTGAAGGCAACCGCTCTGAGTAAAGCTCGGTTGGTGGCTGCAAACGCGTTGGTGCCGTCGTAGTTGGTTGTGATTGTGCTCACCCCCCCTTGGGCAGCCCTCCATTGGCCCGCTTGCACGCAGAGGATGGCGTTTTCCCGACAGCGGTGTGGGAGGCCTCCTTGGGCCCAGGGCGCCTGCGTAGTGGGTGAACCACGTAAGTGGATGCCTGAGTGCCAAGCCATCCCAAAGGAATCGTAGACGTGTAATATACGCTTCCCTAGTATCCCTTCTTTGTTGTTGTGTTTCTCTGCTGGGAATGCCTGTGACCGGTGCCAGTCCAACGGGGTGACCTGGCAACTTCGGCATTGTGTAAGGAATTGGTCTAGGTACTTCATGTACCCTTTGCTGTGGTCCGCAATCGTGTCTGCACCTAGTCCTGCGTACCTGCCCCTCCCCACTGCATAGGATTGCTGCTCCCAGGCGGCTCCTTCTGTCCCATCAGTCGCCGTCGGCGCACGTCCCAACCTGGTACCTTCCGTCCACCCCATCCGTCGAAGCAGTTCCCTCCCCTTCTTGCATCGCCCCAGTGTCGTGTAGTGTGCAAGCTCATCTTCGTCCCCCCTCTGTTCTGCAGTTGCTACTCGCTTTTCTTCTAGTCGTCTGCTGAGCTCTGCTGGGTCCTGAAGATGGAGGGTGGGATCGATCATCGGCCATGTCATTTCGATCGGAATGCCCCATGGTGGCCAGGCCCGTCGTTTACTGGCTCGCTGGCAATACCTTCGCATCGCTCGCTTGTCGGCCTCGACCTGAAAAAGTAGATCGCGGTCGGTCGGCAATCGGTCGATGTGCTCCTGGACGAAAGCCTCGTGTTCTGCTCTCTCTGCCTTTCTATCGATAGGCCTTGCTCCTAGTCCCCCTTCCAAAGCTGGATGGGCGAGCTCCTGATACCAGTAGTCGCGAGGCCAGTGGGTTCGAGCTGATCGGTAGTACCTCTTCTTTGGCCCGCGTCCGTTCCTCTGGTACTGGATGCGTAGTCGGTGCATCTCGGCGAGGTTCCGTTTTTCGTAGGCAGCCCATATGCGTTCGACCAGGAGCGCCCGTCTTTGTTTCTCTACACCTTCTCGGGCCTGCTTCAGCGCCGCCGTGACTTCTTTCAGCTCGTTTTGTACCCAGTCGTAGTCGTCGGCACACTGTTCTGGCGTTAGGCTCTGTCGCAATGTTCGTCGCTTCCTAAGGAGCTCGAGTCGGTATTGCTTGGCTCGCTTCGTAAGCTGGTCGATCTCGTCGGGTGTGCCACTTTTTCCGAAAGTCGTGAGCATGGCCGATCGTGCTGCTCCTCCCAAAAGGTCCCAGGTCTCGTCTGGCGTCGCCGCCCCCAGTGCTCTCTCCCACTGCTCCCCACCCACCTCCTCCACCTCCTTGTCGAGTTCGGTGAGCAGCATCTCCCTCTTGTGGCCGCTGCGCAGACACTCCATGAGTCCGTCCCTGCACAGCCCCTGTTGTAGGCGGGCGCGCGTGGGGAAGGAGGTGGTGGAAGTAGAGGCGAGGAGGGTGAGGCCGATGGGGAGGTGGCCCCTGTGCCCTCGTACTTTTACCTTTTGGAGCCTTTTGCCTGACCGATGGAGGGCCTCACACCTTTTTACGAGTCCCAAGGCCCCTGTAGGTACTACAATGTGGTCAATACGACTGTTGTAACCTGAATGTCCGTAGAATGTAGGTTCGGCGATGTGATAAGTGGTGGCTATACTGAGGTCGCTGGTCTGACACAGGGTCCTAAGGCTCGTGCCGTTGGAGTTCTCTATTTTGGGTTCCCTGTCTCCTACCGTCGGTCCTCTGCTCCGCACAATAGTCCCGTCGGTGTCTCGCTGGCAACCAAAGTCGCTGTTCACATCCCCGCCCATCACTATCGTCGTACGGCTGCCTACTCGATCGACACACTGCTCCAACCATTTGGTTATCGCTTCTGCTAATGGCGCGTAGTACGAAAGGTGTGTTGGGGCGTAGTAGTAAACAAAGAAAGCATAGTCGTGTTGGCCAGTCGAGAGGCGAATTCCTGCAACCCGTCCCTGGAGGCTGGTTGGTGGGGTGTAGGTCTCTCGTAAGCTGCGCTCATCAATTCTCTGACTGATGAGGATCGTTAGGCCACAGCTTTTGTTGATCCACTTCCCTTTGCGAGCACCAAATTGTAACACGTAGTGGTTAGGGAGGTAGTGTCTCTGTACTGCTTCTGCTCCCGCTCATCTGCATGTGCCGCTGAGGAGAATGACATCCCAACTGTGTAGTTCCGCGCTGATGTCCTCCAGTCGTTCTATGCTCGCTGCCTCTTGTGGGTTGTAGTAGCAGATCCTCATGCCTAGGCGCACGGGCTCGCCATGCGGGCCCCCCAGTCCCCCCTGCCCCCGAGGCCTGCGGGTGTGGGCGCAGAATCGCTGGTGTACGATTGTACTTGAGGTGCGGTCGGTCGACTCTTGGGCACCTCAAACAGCGACTAGAAGGCAGAGGAGCAGGAGGAGGAGGAGGAGGAGACAAAGATGGCAAAACATAGGAGCAAGAGGCACGGCGCGGGGAGGGGAAAAGGGGACGATGAGCAGAAGGAGCAGGAGCAGCAACGGCAGCAGCACCAGCGGACGAGGAGGAGAGCAAGAGCGACAAACGAGGAATCAGTCCGGGAGGCGGAGGGGGATGTGTGTCTGTGTGTCTGTGTGTGTGCGTGTGTGCGTGCGGAGGGGGGCATGGGGAGGGGGACGGGGAAGGGACAAAAACAGTGGGGAGGAAGGGGGCGGGGACCCGGATGCGGGGGGAGGGTATGGCGAAAGGGCGAAGGCGAGGCGGAGGCGACGGGGGCGGGATCGGATGGGGGGGGTCGGCGGGGGAGATGGGGGAGGGGGAGGGGATGGAAAATGGGAGACGGGGGGGAAAGAGGAAAACGGGGGGGGGGGGGAGGGCGCCCTCTGCCAGGCCGGAACCTCGCGCAGGAGCGACTGCCTTTCCTCGGGCGAACCGCTGCCCCCCTCATCTGGCAACTGGGGGCATCACAGGCGTGTTGTCAGTTTCGAAGGTACGCGGGGGGGTGAGGGTGTGTCGGGGAGCTCGTTTCTCCCACCTCGCTGGCGTTTTGGAGACAGGGAGATGGCATCGGGCACGGGCGAGAATCAGAAGATCGAGGAGAACGGACGATATGATTGGACAAACACAATGCGCCGCGAGAGCTCCCCGCTTGGTTTCCCATTTTCGCACACTACCGCCTCCCACCCCTTCATTCCCAGGCTCCGCCCATCGCTGCTCCTTTTCCTCCTGTGTCTGATGTAACCCCTTTTCCTTCTCATTCCCATCGCCTGCTGCATCAGTTCCTTTTCCTCCGTTTCCTCTTCCTGCTCAAGTTGTTTCTCCTCCTCTTGCCCACAAGCTAATTTTGATTGGCCCTTTTTTATCATCCCCCTCCTCCTCATCATCCCCGTCTTCGTCGGATTACCCACCATCGCGCCAATATTCTGATCCTTACTATTCGGCCCTTTCCTTTCCCTCCTTTTCAATGGCTCTCTCTTCGCTCCCACCAATCCACTGCTGAGGTCGGGACAGGGAAGGCAGCGACAGGACCACCAGCCCGCGAGGACTGGCACACACACACACACACACACACACACACTTTTGGCGTCGGCGGCTGGGCATAGGGCGACTGCCCCGGCCGATTGGCAACAGGGGACACGCTGTATGAAAATTAAAGCCTCAATTCACGGAGGAGTAGGAATATGAGAAGAAGGAGGAGGAGGAGGAACCCGGCGCGACAGGGGGAGAGGAAGCCGTCCGGGCCCACTCAGAGACGCCGACTGCGGCGGGGGGGGCGCCGAGAAGGGGGGGGCACCAGCGCCAGCACTGAGCTGCATTGAGCTAAAGCTGGGGGGCGGAGCAGCCCAGCAGACTGGGCGGCCAGCGGGGGAGAAACACAACGCAACAGAGACCCGAGACCTGCGGGCGTACGGGGCGGGGGCAGTCGAGAGGTGGAAGGCGGGCAGGCACGAAGGCGCCCCGAGAGAGGGCGCCGAGGGGGAAGACCAGCGTCGGCGCGCTGCACTGAGCTGAAGCTGGAGGAGGCAGCCCGCGGAAGGGCGGCGGTGGGGGGGAGCAGAGGAAGCAAAGCAGAGACCCAACCCGCCGATCCAAAAGGCGGGGTCCCCGATCGACTGCTAAGGCAAGAGAGCGCCGAGACCAGGAGGGCCTACGAGGCGCGAGGCGTGGAAGAGAGGAGACGGCCCGGCGACGCGCAACGGCGCTGCAAACCAGGGCGGGAAGGGGCGGGAGCCACGCCAAGCGGGCGGGAAGGGGCAGGAACGGCGGGCCCAGAGCGCGGACGGGACGAAAGCCGACGCCGAGGCGGGGCCCCGGCCAACGGCGAGGCGAGGGCACAGCGTCAGCGACACCCAGACCAAAGCGGGTGCCGAGACCAGAAGTGCGAGTGCCGAGCCCAGACGGGCCAACGAGGCACAAGCGTGGCGACAGGCGGCGGCAAGCGGCGGAGGAACGCCAGCCGGGGGCGGAGGATGCGAGAAAGCCACGCCCATTGGGAGAGCGGCGGGCCAGGTTGAGTAAAAAAGGTGGGCTCCAAATCCAACAGGCCAAATGGGCAGATGCCTACAGCGGCGCGGTGCCACGGGAGCGATACCGGCCAGGACACCGGCAGCCGGTGCTGGGGAGGTGGCCAGAAAGCCAGGCAGATGGGCAGAACACTGGCTATGCAGCGAATGTCACCCGGCCGGCGAAGCACGGCAAGGGCCAGCGGGGTGCCACAGGCAGCGCCTGGACAAAACCTGCAGGGGGCAGGCAGCGGGGCAGGTGCACCCCGAGGCTGGCAGAGAGGGGCGGCCCGGAGGCCACGAAAAGGCGGCAAGACCAGCCCACAGTGGCAAGGCCCACCCCGAAGTGGGGCAGCAAAGTTGGGCACCACCGGCCAAGAGCCGCCTGCCACACACACACACACACAAACGCCTGAAAGGGCGAATGGCCAGCCCCCGCGCCAAGATCGCCAGTCGGCCCCGCGGAGTGACAATAGTACTAAGCCTGCCTGTGCCACCACTCCACCGACTCGCGAGGCGCAAATCTAAGCGGCCGAGGGGAGGAAACCTACGCGCATTCCTGGACCACTGGGATGACAACACGCACACAAGGACAACAGATGGAGAGGAGAGGCTCAGATAAACGCGCCACCGCTCAACCCCTCAAACACACCACCATCCTCCATCATATTTGCAGACTGCTGCGCCCTATCTTCATGCATTCCATAGCCTGGAGGCGGCGCAAGGTGCTTGCGTCTGGCCTTGTATCGGTAGCGCCTGCACTGCGAAATCCTCTCGCGCCCGTCTGCGCACAAATGGCATGGCAGATGGGCCCTCACGCCGCCACAAGGCCATCTGGGTCTCCACCTCCTTACGAACTGACGAGCGGCCTCCTCACACGTCATAGGCAGAACATCAACGTTCTTCCCGTGTGATCCAAACATCGAAACTGTGGCACTCTCAAAGTGGAAATTCCTGGGCGTCAGCCGCTCTGCGCTGCCAGCTGGGACGGCCCCCCTCGCCAGGACCATCATCAGGAACTTCTCCATCGCCATAGTCGGCACGAGCTATGCCAAGCTTTTCATCGCGAATGTCGTCTCCAGCGAGCTTGACACCAGCACCGATAGCACGGGCAACTTCTGGAAACCCACGCTCCCGCCACACTGCCTGCGCTCCCGCCACGGGCAGGTGGAGCCGCCGAAGGCCCAGTCGGCAGGATGAAAACACCAAAGGTCCGCAGGTGTATGGAAGTCCATTGGCCGCAGGGTCGGGACCCACTTTTGCAGCTGGCGTGAACTCCGTGGCCTCAGCTCTCAGCACGTGCACCTGCCTCCCCGCTGGGAAGAAAAGAAAAAACCCAGCGCTGGCGTACTCCACGCGCTGCCTCCATTGAAGCTGCGCGGAGCGCCTCGCGATGGGCTCAAGAGGCTCCCAAGACAGCCTGAAGACATGTCAATCATCCCCCAAGGCGGCCCAAGAGGTCTCAAAGATGCCCTCCTGGAGAGCCCGAGGAGGCCAAGACTATTGATTATACTCAGATTGTTCAAAACTTGCCAGGTTCGCACCTGTTCGGGCTTCCGACCGCCCAAGACGGCCCAAGAAGCATCCAACAGGCCTCCAAGATAGCTCCAAGACAGTCCAAGAGGCCCCCAAGAGGGTCCGAAATCGGCCCAAGAGGACCCACCGATCGCCCAAGGGGCTCCCAAGAGACAGCAGTGACCCGCTTCAAGAGGGCACCAACGCGGCCTAGAGAGGCCCCCAAGGCGGCCTCCATAGGCGTTAGACGGGGCAAAAATCCCTAAGACGGCCCAAGAAGCCCCAAGAGGCCCTGAAGAGGCCCCATGCAGCCTCCAAGAGACCCCAAAGAAGCTTTCAGGACACTCCCAGGAGGACCCCAGAAGCCCGAAGAAGGCCCCAAGAAGCCTTCTCGCCTCCTCCTCTTCCTCCTCCTCCTCCTCCTCCTCCCCTCTTCCTCCTCCTCCTCCTCCTCCTTCTCCCTACCTCGCGAATGAAGACGAGGTCGGGATAACGACACGCCCCAATGCAGATTACTCGTTGGAATTGCGCTGTTCCTACACTCAGCCTCTTTCCTGCTGCTCTGTTGCACAAGCACGGTGGCGGGGTTTGCCGCCAGCGACTGGTATAGAACCTGTACAGAAAGCTGCTTGGGGAAAACAAAGCAATAACCCTTCAGAGGTCCGCGTAGATTTCTGGTGTCGGCGCGGAGACCCCCCCTCCTGGCGACCGGAAGTGGGTCCAATGCCGACTCAAGCCCGGGGCTTCTCCAGCCTGTGGATGGAAGCTCCTGCCGAAGGTCATTCCCTACCACGGCTGCTCAGCGCTCCGCTTGGCGCAAGGCGCTCCTCCTCCTCCCATCCTGCTCCTCCTCCACCTATTCCTCCTTGTTCATCCTTCCTCCTCCTACTACGCCTTCCCCCTCCTTCTCCCCCTCCTCCCCCTCCTCCTGCCCCTCCTTTTCCTTCTCCTCCCAGCGACTCTCGGCACATGCTCGGTGTGTCTGGCGGGCGCTGGCGCGAGGCCGCAGCGGACAGGACGGGCCGCGCAAGGGTCGCCGCTGGGCTGCGCCCGAGCGCCCGCAGGCCCTGCTCGCACTTGGACAGCGCGGCCTCTCGGGGTCGGATTCCTCCTCCTTCCTCCTCGACGGGGGAATGGCGCGCGTGGCGAGGCTGCTGGACACGCCGGGGGATCGAGAGCCGAGCGCGCGGCGCTGCAGATGACTGGATTCGAACCGATCTCTGCTGTTCTCCACACTTGCACACTTTGAGTAAGTACGGCTCTCCTCTTTCCCCTGACTCTGTCTGGGAGGTCTCTGCCCCTCTCCGCATAGTAGTTGATTTGAAAATACCAGGTTTTCATACTTGATGTCTCCCCACATCCTAAGTGGGGCTCATCCGCATCCTAAGTGGGGTGATTGTTTTCTCTGGATACCACGCGCAGTCCTCACCCCCTCTGCTCCCCATCACCATCACACCGTCATCACCAACATCAGCATCACATCATCGTAGTCGTCACCATCATCATCAACAGCAGCGCCATAATCGCATTCACACTCTTCTCCATTGGTCACCTACCATCGAACCATCATCATCACCACCATCATCATCACCAGCACCGCACACACTCACACATTCACTCATACACACCCACGCCATGACCACCACCGCCATCGTCATCTCACACGTACCCACCTACTCATTAACGCTCTCACTCGCACTCCTACAATCACAACTGCATCTTGGGCAAATCTCGGGAGGGAACGTCATCTGTGAGTGAAGTGTCAAACGTCTCAGGCGAAATCCAGTGAGTGTCGTCACTTTGGGGCCCTGGAAGCACGAATCTGGAGGAAGTCGCGGGCGGGAGCCCCCTCCCTATGCTGTCGCCACGTGATGTTGGTGATCCGAACGGGTCGTCCAGATATTGTAATTCTCTTCACTGTTGGGCTCCTGTAGCGTGGATATGGACGAAGTCTCGAACGGGGCCCCGTCTGTGAGTAAATCGTGAGGAAGTCTCAAGCGGGAACCCACTCCTTCTGGGCCGTCAAATCACATTCGTATTCCAAGCAGGCTGTCCAGATCGTGTTAGGGTTGGGTTCACGAGGCGTCGATTTGGAAATAAAATCGAGCTGGCGCCTGGTCAATGATTGACTTGCGAAGGAGTTTCAGGCGGGAGTTCCTCCCCTTGTGGCCGCCCAATCCGAGCGGGTCATCCAAGAGGTCTCGAACGGAAACCCGCATCCCTATGGGGTCCGCGAGATCACGTGCGTAATCCGAGCGGGCCATCCGAATCCTGTAACCGTCCTCGTTTTGGGGTTCCAAGTTTGTCCCGACGGCTTGATCCAGCGCCCCGGCGGCCCACGGCAACCGTCTCAATGACCTGGCCTGTGGCATTGTCCCAGCTGTTTCAGGAACTGGCTGTCTGGCGACGCGCCCCAGCTGGCTGCGGCGGCGACGGCGCCGGGGAAAATCGGCATGCACGCCCGTGCAAACGGGGCGGGGAAGAAGGCACACGAGACAATGGGCAGAAGGAGGAAGAGAAATTGGAGGAAGAAGAGGACAGGGGATGAAGCGGATGAGGGGGATGAGGAAAAGAGAAGGAGGCCGAGCAGGGGGCGGGAGGAAGGCCTCCACCAGAGCGAAGGAGGATGGGCGAAGGGGAGACAGAAAGAGGGCCTCCACTATCACGAAGACGACAATGCTGGGGTCGACTGTCGGAACATTTTTCCCCACATCCTGAATTGGTTTCCTGTTTTCTCTCCACACCCCCGGCGCGGGAACACCGTCCTCCTCTCCCTATTTTCCACTTTCGTCATTCCACAGTCATCATCATCATCATCATCATCATCATCATCATCATCATCATCATCATCATCATCATCACATCATGGGCATCAATCATCATGATCATGAATCAGCATGATCATCATCAGCATCGTCATCCTCACCATCATCACCATTATCATCACCACCACTACTGTCATCACAATCGAATCATCATCATCACAACCGTAGCTCACTCACGCACTCACTGCACGTCGCACTCCCGCACTTACTCACAAACACACTCATTCATATTGAGGGAGTCTTGGATGCGTGTTCAGCCATGGGCAACATGGGGCCCCTGCGAGTCAAACGGCAACGGGTGGTGGTAAACAACATCATGATACAATGCGCACGCGCACGCTACCTCACATCCGCGAAACTTTGTCACGAGCTAGGCGGTAAGACAGGCACGTCATTGTAGAAGCAACCTATGTACGCTCGCTGGGGCGGTAGCACAAGGCGACGGCCCAAATGGCCTCAGTACTCGATTCCCCGATGGGATAATGGTCTTGGCGCGAGACCTCGGCAGCCTCGCCTTGCTCATTGTAGGCTCTGGGTCTGGAAATACACAATGCGAGCTGGTTTTTCAAATGTTCACAGGGAGTCAGTAGGCATTGCCTTGGTGAGACAATATACTGCCATGGTGCCTGTATCAATCCATCGGATCTCGTCATAGAAAATGCTGGGTGTGTAGGCCTCAATTTGTACCTCCGCGCGTCAATAGGTCTTGCCTCAGACTACTAAGATCAATGATCCATCGCATGTTTGATGCCTTCCCTATAGTAGATGCAGTCAGATGTTCTAGGCTCTTGCAGTCGGCCATCCCGACATGTCTCATTTTAGAGGCGGGCGCCTCCTCCCAGTCGCGACGGAGTTCGCGACCCATGCCTAGCATGCCACGCGCGTCGGCGAAATCGGCGCGAATGCGAACTCCAGAATCTACCCCCCGTAGGCATGCTAACGTTTCTGCTTGAAACGTGACCCTGCGCACACGTCGAGTAAATTTGCTCGATGGGCATATGGGATGGGCACGAGTCTGCGGGCCCAATCCGCCGGCTGTAGGGCGAAGGTTCGCAGTTTCCTGTACCAGTTGCAGCTTCCAGTTTCCACTGTTACAGTTCTGCTTGTTGCTGCTTACTGTTCCTTGTTGACTTCTTGCTGCTTACTGTTCATTGTTGATGGACCGCGCGAAGGGGGGAGGCCAGAAACGGGCATTTTACTACGCCCAAATCGTATGCTCTGAATTGCTGGGGTGGGTAAAAATTAACACCCCTCACGCAGATCGGCGGGGTCAGAGTCCAAAAACAAAAGGGATGTGCCACATTTCTGAAATCCGGTGGCACCCCTCACGCAGATCGGCGGGGTCAGGGTCCAAAAACACATGGGATGTGCCACATGTCTGAAATTTGCTGGTACCCCTCACGCAGAGGCGGGGTCAGAGTCCAAAAACAAATGGGACTTGCCACATTTCTGACATTCGGTGGCACCCCTCACGCAGATCGGCGGGGTCAGGGTCAAAAAACACATGGGAGGTGCAACATTTCTGAAATTCGGCGGCACCCCTCACGCAGATCGGCGGGGTCAGGGTCCAAAAACGCATGGGACGTGCCACATTTCTGAAATTCGGCGGCACCCCTCACGCAGATCGGCGGGGTCAGGGTGCAAAAACACAGGGGGTGTACGACATTTCTGACTTTCAGTGGCACCTCTCAAACAGATCGGCGGGGTCAGGGTCCAAAAACACAGGTGATTTGCCACATTTCTGAAATTCGGCGCCACCCCTTACGCAGATCCGCGGGGTCAGGGTCCAAAAACACAAGGGATTTGCCACATTTCTAACATTCGGTGGCACCCCTCACGCAGATCGGCGGGGTCAGGGTCCAGACCGGCGGGGTCAGGGTCAAAAAACAAAAAAAATTGCTACATTTCTGAAATTCGGCGGCACTCCTCACGCAGATCCGTAGGGTCGGAGTTCAAAAACAAATTTGATGTGCCATATTTCTGAAATTCGGCGGCACCCCTCACGCAGATCGGCGGGGTCAGGGTGCAAAAACACATGGGATGTGCCACATTTCTGAAATTCGGTGGCACCCCTCACGCAGATCGGCGGGGTCAGGGTCCACAAACACAGGGGATTTGCAAAATTGTCAAATTCGATCACGCAGATCGGCGGGGTCGGGGTCCAAAAACAAAGTGGATTTGCCACATTTCTAAGATTCGGTGGCACCCCTCACGCAGATCGGCGGGGTCAGGGTCCAAAAACAAATGGGATTTGTCACATTTCTAAAAATGTGCTGGCACCCATCGCGCAGATCGGAGGGTCAGGGTTCAAAAACACATGGGATGCGCCACATGTCTGAAATTCGCTGGCACCCCTCACGCAAATCGGCTGGGTCAGGGTCCAAAAACACTTGGGATGTGGCACATTTCTGAAATTGGGCGGCACCCCTCACGCAGATCAGGGGGTCAGGGTCCAAAAACACATGAGGTGTGCCACATGTCTGAAATTCGGCGGCACCCCTCACGCAGATCGGCAGGGTCAGGGTCCAAAGACACATGGATTTGCCACATTTCTGACATTCGGCGGCATCCCTCACGCAGATCGGCGGGGCCAGGGTGCAAAAACACATTGGATTTGCCACATTTCTGAAATCCGGTGGCACCCGTGACGCAGATCCGTAGGGTCAGGGTCGAAAAACAAACAAGTCCCGACACAGCTTCACGGCGGCGCCCAGACCTCATGATTTAGCTCTTCCATGGCCCATTATCCGAGAGAGAGGGCCGGCGGCTGGGGACGAAGCCCTTACGAAGCCTTAATGGCCCAATCCTCCCGAGGGCTGCGTCGCTTTCCCCGAGACAACCGGCGCCTGTGATGGCGAGCAGTCATATATAGATCCCATTGGATAAGACCTCCTGTGCATGCTATCCCCTTGTCCGCAGCTTGGACCGCGACCCAGTGCCCCGCTGGCTTTCTTGCGATCTACAACTTTCGCGCGGCTTGCATGTTTCGGAGGCAGCCCGCTCGGTAAAGTAACCTAGGTTTACGCTGTCGGGATACCCGCGATGAGGCTTCAACAGTGGATATAAGCTGTAATGTGTTGCCTTCGTCGCGCGTTCTGGTTCAAGGGCTATTTCTCGGAACCGATGCAAGATTAGTTTCCCGACCTTGTCCTCTGCTGAAAACTTGACAATCACTGCGTTAATCTGGTTACTTTGCGACGCACTGCAACGGAAGCTACGGGGATGTCAAACTCAGCGAGCACGCTGTAAATTATAGTTTGGCACCC